CTGGACAGGAAAAGAACCCAGGGACACACGGACGCCTCCCGCCCCGCATTCTTGAGGAACCCCTTTCTTCTGACGCCTCGACTACGCCCAACCTGGTCAGTCCAGGCGCCTCTGCGACCATTGGTCTTTGGGACCCTTGCTGGCAGCTTGGCTATCGATGGCCGCCGCCACGCTGCTTGTCGAAATGGGGTCAAGCCACCGCCTGTAGCGCTTTTCACGCCTGCTGACCAGTCCGCTCTAACCAGGCTGAACGTGAGGAAGATGACAGTCACGATCGGATCACTCCACCGCCCCTGAAGCGAGATCTACGATATCTATTGCGACACCTCAGACATGCGCCAACCAACGGCGACCACGGCCCCGCAGGTTTACTGTACTTGTACTCGCCCATGGCCGTTTGAAAACGATCAGCACCCCCCCACGTAATTTTTCGACACTGCGGAAACCAGCCTTGGTGTACCAACAGCTCTTATTGATTAATTGATAAGGACGCCTACCTTGAGCGCCTTGTGTTCTCGGAATGAACGCAGGCTTCCAACTGGAGACTTGGATGCAGAATATGGCGGCTTTGGCGTGCACAGGTCTGACTTTTGCTTGTCAGGCGCTGGCTGGTACGTTGCGAGTGAACACAATCTGGAGCAAGATACCGCTAAGCTCGTCCCGAGCCATCATCTCATGTCCTGTGCCCAGGCATCACAGCTAGTAAAGACAAGTCCGCGCGTCGACCAGCCGAGACCAAGCCTGATCGTGTTCACTTCTGAGAGTGCATTTCGTCGCGTATTTGTCCGACGAATATGGGAAGGGTGGTGTGATACTTGGATCTTACCTGGCCCCGCGATCCCTGATAGTTTGGCATGTATGTCAGTGCTCAACGCAAGGCCTCCAGCCCCGATGGTTTGAGCCCTACCCTCCTTGTTTCTCACGAGCACAATCCCTTGAAAGGAATTATACAGTGATACCATGACGTGGTTGAATGAATCGACAAGCATTAAGGACTCCCCGACGTCATACTCGCGGCGCTTTTCTGACATGGTTACAATGTACACCTCGGCGAGCGCACCCCTATGCTTGGGGCATTCCATTTGCGCTGAGGCCAACCATCGGTGTAATCCAAAAAAGTCCGGTAATGGCACCATGCCCGGTGTTGTAATGTAAAAGAGAATCAAA